GAGAGGGAGGAGAGGGAGAGGGAGGAGATTGAGAGGGAGGAGAGGGAGAGGGAGGAGAGGGAGAGGGAGGAGAGGGAGAGGGAGGAGAGGGAGAGGGAGGTGAGGGAGAGGGAGGAGAGGGAGAGGAAGCTATTTTCATGAGGGTTTACAGTGTTTGTTCTTGGCGTTTTACAGTGTTAAACCGGTTTACAAAAGGAAACGAATACTAGAATCTCTTCTTTGTTGAACCTACTGCGGCCAGTATTGACAGGTGTATCAAGGGCCGTCACAACATATTTTAGCTTATGGTATGTTTTGTTACTTCGAGCTGGGCCTTTACCTGATCACCTGTGCCCTTCTTGCCTTATTCTAAACCCATCCACCAAACTAAGTTCAAAACCCTGTAAACCCTATAGTAAACCCTTGAATCTAAACCCAAAAACCCTTCACCTAAACCCTAAAATCCTAGAAACCCTGAATCCTAAAACCCTAAGCGAACGAGACACAGCGTGGAGACAACGGAACGAAGTCCCATGCCAATGCCCTTGACGAGCACCACCAGCTCGCGGCAGGAGCTCATGAGCCTTCAAAAGGGCTTTCTTTGTGGCATAGGGTTTGTAGAGTGTAGGGCTTCTAGGGCTATATTGTTCTGGGGACCTAATTCCATAATCGTAGTATATATGGACCCTCTTGGGTGGCAACTCACTCAAGTCTATGGAATCTGACAGGTCTAGACGCTCGAAGCATGTGCAACAACGCGGAAAATCTCTAGGGTCTTAATATCCCGCTGAATAGCTAGAAACTCGAAGTCTTGAGTTGCTAAAGGTTTGAATTCAAGCCATGGGCATCTGAAGCTGAGGGCATGGACTGTTTATGGCTTTGCATGTTGGGAACTGGTACCCTGCTACCAAAAAAACACAGTCGCGCCAGTTGCCTGCACCAACACTCATATACTTGGGGCTCAAAGGGTTTCGGGTTTGGGGTTTCGGGTTGAGGGTTTAGGGGTTTAGGGGATAGGGTTTTGGGTAAATGCCCGTAGGTTTTGGATTTGGAGGTCTAGGTTTTTGGGTTGACTCCAAGCCGGCTCAGGGTTGGAGTTTATGGTTTATAGTATCTGGTGGGTTTGCTGGGTCTATTTTGGAGTTAGTTGTGTATTAGGACACCGAATTGGGGGGGTGCCCCCTGGCTCCCCGAAGGAAGACGTAATGCATCAACTTGAACAAGGAGCCTTGATATTTTATGATGTTGTGGGCCTGGGGTGCAATTTCAAGCTGCAAAACGATCCCTACGGAGTGCCCCCAAAATCCCAAAAACCAAGCCCAAAACCTTTGAAGATACGTTGTAGAAACTTTCCAGAAACCGTATCATTCGCCCCCACTACTCTCCCGATAGTACCCTTGTACAACCCATAACATCATATTGCGAATCTGCCAGCACTGGCGAGCCTCCCAACTCGTGCAATCCGGACCAATCGGAAGAGTCGGAAGAGTCGGAGAATGGAGAGGTTCCCGCCCCCCTGAGTACGACTACAGGAATGCGTTGAGGGTTGAGGGATAATTGACTAGGGTTGTAGCGCTTTGGGTTTGGGGCCCCCGCTGATTTCGAAGATGGCTTAGGGTGTAGGCACAGGGTTCCGTGCCCCCTGATCAAGGCTGTATAGGTTTGATCTGATCGCTTTGTAGGAAGGTATGGAACCATCTCGCCGTAGCAGAACTCATAGTACATAGGACAATACAACCCGCAAACCTGTTCTAAGCATCAAGGCCCCTATATTCTGCGTGTTCCGGTTTATGTGATATGGGGGCCTTAATAATTAGAATAGGGTTTTGGGGCCCAGAATACTA